GTGATCTAGATGAAGACGCTGGGTGAAGTTATGCTGATGATAACCAGCTCTTCATCTCTTCCCCGGACTGACCAAATGATGCTTGTCTTGTCTCGGTGTGTGGAGGCCATGGGGCTCTGGGTGGAGAAGAACAAGCTTCAGCTCAACCCTAGAGCGCCTCTGGGTGTTAGCCCCCCATCCCCAGATCTGGTGATTTTCCACCTCTAGTTAAGGATGGGTTGCAGTACCCCAAACAGAACCAGAGTGCAATTTGGGGGCCTCCTGGACTCGTGGCTCCTATTTGAAGAGCAAATGGCAGCTGTGGCCAGGAGGGCCTTTGCACAACTTTGTCACGTGTGCCAGTTGTGTCCTTTCCTGGACCCAGAGCATTGCTCACAGTCACTCATGCCTTGGTCACCACCTGAGTGGATTACTGCAATGTGCTATATATGGGGCTGCCCTTGAGGAACATCTGGAAACTGCAGCTGGTCCAGAATGCAGCAATGCAGATAGTTGTGGTTATCTGTTAGCACACCCATGTTACACTTCTGCTCCATGAGCTGACTGGCTCCCCGTATGCTTCAGGTGCAATTCAAGATGCCAGTGGTCACTTAGTGTAGAGACTCGGGAAGATGACCTTGACGGAGATAGGCAGGAACTGTTACCTAGAAAAAGGGGCTAAAGCATTTTTAAGTCCAGAATGTCCAGATAACATTCAAGGTGACACTGACAGGTGCCTCCCTAATTCACTGAACTGTAAGGAGAAGGAGGTCCAGCAGAATGAGACTTGCAAGATTCTGTTCTTACAGCCCATCTCAGTAAGGTAGTTTTAGCTTTCCTCTATAGAGTCATGTCCTGGTCTGGTCCACCTAGTGGGGCTGACCCCTATAAAACTTTTCATGGCATCCATTCTTTGCAAGACAGCTTCTCCCCAGTTTTTTCTACCCATCCCATCAGATCCAGCAGGAGAGGCATGCTGGGGTTCCGTTCATTACAGAACGTCGCCTTGCAGGACCCAGAAAGTGGGCCTTCTCGGTTGCAGGGCCTGCTCTTTGTAATACCACGCCTTCAAAATTAGATTGACCCTGACCCTGCCACCTTTTCAAAAAACCCTTAAGACTTGGAGGTGCTCCAGGCATGGGGCCTAGGGGGTTAGTGGGACCCCGTGGGGCTTTCCTAGAGTATTAGATCTGTTTTTACCTTGGTGGTTCTTATAGGTTTTATGGGCACTGCCACCACCAACATACAAATTAAAACCCAAACCAACCAGCATATAGGTTTGATATTCTGGCTGGTTTTGATTTTTATTTGTATGTTGTTATCTGTTGCTAGCTGCCCAGAGTCATTACGGTGAGACGGTTGGCTGTATAAATCTAATTAATTAAATAAAAGTTATAATTGGCCTCTTCCTGTATTTGTTTGCAGCCAGTTTGGAATGAGCACACAAGAGTAGGGCAAGTTTTCATACTCCTGCGAGTCTTTTTGGTCGGGAAAAAGGCCCCCTGGGGTAATACTCTTGTATATTTGTCCATCCGCTTTGCTTGAAGGTCTCCTGTTTCTTTCCCAGGCTGGATCCTGATCGATCGTTGTGGAAAGCATTTTGGAACCATCTTAAATTATCTCCGGGACAATACGGTCATTCTACCCAAGAACCGGCAGGAGATCAAGGAGCTGATGGCCGAAGCCAGATATTACCTCATCCAGGGCTTGGTGGACCTCTGTCAAGCTGCCTTGCAGGTAAGAGAGCTGTATATGCTGAATTGTAGAAGCTTAGAGATGGAAGGGAGCCTGGAGGTCATCCAGCTCAACCCTTTTTCCTCAAGGCAAGAACCCTGCTCTAAAAGCATCCCTGACAGGTGACATCCAGTGTTTATTTAAACTTCTTTGGGTAAGGATAGACTGCAGCCTCCCACGTAATTTATTATTCTAGAGATGGGGGCCCATATGGCCCTGCGGTCCTGAATTTGGGGCCTTTGGACCCCCCCCAGAATGGACAACCACAAACATTTCAGGCCCTCTTCCTCTGTTTTAAGAAGTGAAATGGTGTCTTAAACTTTAAAAGCCTTCACATTCTTAGAAGACTCGGAAGAGGCTCTCCTGGAATCTGTTCAGGCCATTCTCACTCCTGTCTTAAACTTTAAAAGCCTTCACATTCTTAGAAGACTCGGAAGAGGCTCTCCTGGAATCTGTTCAGGCCATTCTCACTCCTGTCTTAAACTTTAAAAGCCTTCACATTCTTAGAAGACTCGGAAGAGGCTCTCCTGGAATCTGTTCAGGCCATTCTCACTCCTTCTTATGGGGAGGGCAGAATTAACCATCAAAATTCTCTGCAAGGTTTAAGACATAAATTATGCCCTTTAACAGCCCCCCAAGTTCCTTGGCTTAAAAAAAAAAAGCCTGGTGTGCTTTCTAACTTAAATCTTCATTTCTGCAGTTCAGAACAACGAGATTTCAGAAGGAGAGGCAGTCCACCCTGCCTTAATCTGTCTGGATGTGTGCACTTCTCTTTGCAGGACAAGAAAGAGACCTACCATCCTATCTGCAATATTCCTGTCATCACATCTCCCAAAGAAGAAGAGAGACTCATTGAGTCAGCCATGAAGGTATTGAGGGGGGAGGAGGAGAGAATGAGCAGAAGAAAAGGGCCGGGTTCACACATTGCACGAAACCAGGACGGCAGAACATTCAGCGTGCGGGCTGCCCCCTTTTGTTTTACTCGATTCGTTAGGGTGGCCTGACTCCAAAACGTCACTTAAATAGCATTTCCCTCTTTTAGAAACCCCAAAAGCTCCAACGCACGGATCCTGGCCTCAAGCTTGGTGTAGCCCTTTTGCTGGCAGAGGTTAAGTGCAGCCTGCCCTGAGCCCGTCTCAGGGGAGCTCAGAACGGCTTCCCTGGGATGAGACCAAGGTCTCTGCCCATCTGGAGTATCTGGGTTCTCCTGGGTGTCGGAGGACTGTTTCCATCTCCTTTGACCACTGACCACGCTGACTCCAGGGTCACCTGGAGAGGAGCAGGTTCCCCTCTTTCTGTCTGCCGGGGGCGTCAACAGACGCTGCAGGGAAGTGTGCCAGCGGGTTTCTCCATGGCTTCCAGAAACACACTGCCAGAGCTGTGTTGGGAATCTGAAGGCCTGGCAGGGCACATCACCTCCAAGGCCTGCTTCTTCTCCTTTCTGCCAGTGCAAAGCACCTGAGTCAGGAACGGGTGGTCTCAGTTTCCCATAATGCCCTGGGAATGTTCAGGGCCACTGTTTCCAGAGCATTGTGGGAACTACAGCAGCAAGTCTCCGCGTGCTGCTATTGGCACCCAGCGGCACAAAAGTTTGGTGTTCTCTCTTCTGCCTGCATTGATACCCCTTTTCTCCCCCCTCTTTTCAGCCGGTGGTGAAGCTTCTTTATAACCGAAGCAACAACAAATACTCGTACACAAGGTAAGCACCTCCGCTCTCTGGGCTAAGGTGAAACTTAAGGACAAGGCATCGTCCGATCCGCCATTCTGTCCTTGTGGTGATCCACCAGTGGCATCTAGGAAGATCCCAAACAGACCTAAAAGCTTTGCAGAGCTGTACAGATACTGAAAGATAATGCATTCCTTATTTGTGTTTGAATAGAGCCACATTGTGTTTCAGGGCAGAGTGGACCCTCCAATCTGTTGCATGGTTACAATTCAGAAGCACAGGTTTGAGGACCTGGGACTGCTCCTCCAGAATTTGCCGCTCTGCTACATTTTTAAAGATGGGGGCAATTCTTACATCTATAGAAAATAATCCTATTCATTATAATTATTTTGGTATTTCATGTTTACTGGGAATCCATCTATTCTTTATGCTGGTTCAGTTTCATTTGTGGAATGTACCACCAAGCCTAGTGCTTAAGGGTAAATACATCCCTCAGCCTTGGGATAGCAGGCTAAGTAGCAGATTCCTTGTTTAATTTATAATTCTTTATTTTAATTTATCGTTCTTTATCATTAAATTATCCAGACCTGGCTCTTCCCCCAGGGCCTATTGAGTGGGAGTCCCCGCTGTGGTTGTTTTGTTACGTGCTTGGTCGCCATGTCACATTTTGTATTTATGTATTGTATTTATATATTTATACACTGTATTATATATTGTAATATATTTATATATTAGTTATTAATAATGTATTATATATTAATATATATTATATATTATTTCAATATATATATTGAAAATAGATATAATTTACAATATATAATATAAATTTATATCTTTACAATATAAAATGTAAATTATACACTTTCAAGGTAAATACATTTCACGTTTTGTATTTATACTGTATATTGAACCAAGTCAAAAGGACATCTTGGAGAGACTAGGAATTTGTCAGATCCGAAAACATCTTAGCACTCAGTTATTAACCAGTTGCACCCAAAGTCTTCTAGCACAACATGGCAGGCTGATCCCTGAGAGCAAAACTAAAAAGGGTTGAATGTTCTGCCATTCATTTGTTTCCTTAGTTTGCTCCTCTTGTCATCTTGACCATTAAAATTGATAGATAATCCATGCTGATTCGATCTAACACTCAGTGGAAAAATTGGCAACAGGGATATTTTTTCAGAAATAAACCACTGGGTGGGCAAATTGCAAAAAGCAAGTTTAATTATTTTTTAATAGTTTGCTATGAGATTTTTAAAACATGTTTAAAACGTTTTTTTTAAAAAGCATTCTCTTGGCTGACTTTTCAGGAGGTAGCCGTCAGTACGGACATTCACCCCACCTTCTGTTATGGCTCTAGGACAGTGTCTCTCAACCTTGGGCACTTGAAGATGTGTGGACTTCAACTCCCAGAATTCCCCAGCCAGCATGAACCACATCTTCGTGCCCAAGGTTGAGAAACACTGCTCTTGGATAATAATAGGAGGAGCAAGGGTCTTGTTATGATTTCCTGTCATTCCTGATGGTGGCACCCTCAAAACAAGGTGGAACAAAACTGCTCATATTCTGAACTCAGGACAAACTCTAGAACGCAAGGTGATATGCTTAGAGCCCCTGGTGCTGAAAATGGCTGTTTTGGGCTTTGTTATTATTCACTCTTTATCAGTTAGACCCACAAATTATTTCCTTTTCAGGGGCAGCTCAGAAGCTGGTGTTAATCAGTTACTTTTAGGGGAAGGGAACTCTCGATTATTAAAAAAAAAAAAACAGGTTAGAGGAAGACTAAAAGAAAGTCCACTTCTCTTTCACTTCCACCCTGTTGGCACGATTCCTAGAAACCTGAAGGTATATCCAAGCCTTCAGAACAACAGACGAGATGACTCTGCCACTGACTCAGATTTAAAAGCATTTATTTGCGTGGCTTATCTGCCTTCCTGGAACAAGAATTCTCTGGTCAGAGTGCAAGGTAAAAAGATATTAATTACGATAGGGGCCATAAAAATGAAGGAGTCGGGTTCCTGCTGCTTTAAAGCAGATCACAAGACTGATGCAGTAGCAATGAGAAATCAGAGTTAAGGGTTAACTGGGACTTGGACACAGATTCACCTGTTTTGTAATCCCTCTGTAATTTGGGGGGGGGGGTGTCAATTGTCTAGGTCTCCTGAATAACAAGCAGGTACCGCAGGACTGAACTGCTTGGCAGCCAGGAACATCCAAACCAGCCATCTCTTCCTCTGCAGGCAGAAACGTGCAGCCAATCGCTATTTGGGTAACGTTTCTCCTGGACCTTTCCCCATTTTTGAACTTCTGGCTGTCTTACTCACCAGAGAGCCCAGTTTACTCACCTCTGCCGAGCGAGATAGCGCATCCTTTTTGCCCCACTCTGGTGGGTATATTTGGAATGGCCAAAACTGAGGAAATTTGCTCCCCGGTAAAGTGCTTGGAGCCCCCTCCCTTTGCAACCCCTCCTCATTTTTTTTCTTTTGGGTGGGGAGCATGCCTCCCAGCGAAGCCCCTGCCGTTTTGATTTTCCAGGAATAACCACGGGGCCAGAGGCTGGTGTTCTTTTGTACAGCCTGCCAGCTTCTAAGTAGATTGCTTTAGTTTATACATCTGTTTACATTACAGTCAAGAAAGATGTTGACAGGCAGAGGGGAGACCACAGCCAGCTGCCTGCCTTTTGGTGCCAGAACTTAATTCTGAATTATGTGAATTTAATTTGCTTTGTTAGAGCAGAAAAGACAAATGACCCCTTCGTCCAGTTTTCTCTGGGCGCTCCGTGCAGCCCTGAGGCTGAGGTGGGAAAAGCTCTGCAGGCATTAGTTGGCAGTCCTCGTCCTTTACTACTGGCCTTGCTGCCTGGGGCTGATGGGAGTTGTAGTCACGCCCTGTCCCTGCCCTAAGAATACAGATGCATACAACTGCAGAAGCTACTGAGCTTCAGACTAGCAACCCCAGGTCTGGTGACCCCTTCTTGCTTTCTCTTTGACATATTGAATAGACCTCCAGAGGCGGGGGCTGCATCTGTGACTCCCCCTCCAGCCGCTGTGTGTTGTATAGAAAGTCAGGTTCTTGCATGGATAGCGCAGGACTGAGTGGGGATTCTCTGCTGAGCCGGAATCCTGGTTATATGGACTTGTGGTTATATAGCTCCTGTCTGTTTGTTCTGGAGAGTGCAAGGTAGAGCAAATGATTTAATCCCACCCCGACAACCCTGTGAGGTAGGCTAGGCTGAGAGAGGAGGGTTGGGGACAAACTGGGATTCCTCCCCCATCTCCAGTCAAGTCTGAGGCTTTTAACAACTCGACTACACCAGCTGTCAGCCCTGTGAGGTAGACCAGACCAAGAAACCAAAGCCATATAGGACTAAAACTACTTTTATTGGAACAGCTATAGAAATAGAACCTTGGAAGTCTGAATGTGTTTCCCCCTCCCTCCCTTTATCTTTCTGTGAATTAGGGAGGGGTTTGTCTGAGACATTTACAGAGAGTCTTCGTTTAGCCACCACAATTGGGACCGGCAACTCAGTTGTTAAGTGAAGCGGATGCTAAGTGAAACCGCGCCTGCGCTTATGATCTTCCTTCAGCTTTCCTTGGCTTTATAGACCTGCAAAGATTGTAAATGCGAGGATTGGTCGCAAAGTTTCTTTTTCATCACTGTAGTAACTGCAGATGGTCACTGTGTGAGGCAGTCACTAAATGAGGACTGCCTGTACTCATATTAGTTTCTTGGAATGGCCTCAAAGCCTGCTTATTTGACACTTGCCTTGGTAGCGGCTCGTCCTGTCCTTCCCCAACTCCGAGTCTGTTTTTTTCTGCTGAACACAAGTTGCCATCAGCACTTGAAGCAGGAGGCCCTGCTCCACCACCTGGTAGGTGAGGGCGGTCTACCTGTGCCAGAATGCTTAGTGTGCGAGAACCTCTGTATGTCCAGATGTCTCTGCTTGCACAATGGAGCAGTTGGAGCTAGTGAGTTGCTGCATGTCCCTTGACACAAACTCTGGGGCACTGGAGGAGAGCCGAGAGGCAGAATCCTTTGAGCCTTCCAAAGCCAACGCTGCTTTTTCCATTCCTCCTTCCAGCAACTCCGATGACAATCTCCTGAAGAACATTGAACTCTTTGACAAGCTCTCGCTCCGCTTCAACGGGAGGGTCCTTTTCATCAAGGACGTCATCGGGGACGAGATCTGCTGCTGGAGTTTCTTCGGGCAGGGGCGGAAGCTGGCCGAGGTCTGCTGCACCTCCATCGTTTATGCCACGGAAAAGAAGCAAACGAAGGTATTGGCAATTCTGGGCATTTGGACGGAGAGAGAGATCAGGCTGAGAGTCCTCCGTGAAGGGCTCAGGATTGATTGAGAGACTCCAGCAGTTGTGGGGAGGGGGGAGGAAGCATATTCTGAACAGTGGAAAGTCCTGTGGGCCTGCTCACAAAGTGTCTGCTGCCTGTTCGTGAAATGGCTGCCATGGTTAGCCAGCCTGAATCCCCATTTTGGAGTGATGGGGCTGAAAGTAAAGTCACTGGCCCTCAAATCTTAGGATCCAGAATCTACCCGAGCCATTCTTTCAAAGTGCTTTTACTGCTCCAGTTCCCATGTGACAGGAGGGAAGGTCAGGGGGCTGAAAGGCATTCTCTGAAATGAAGATGGCATTGGAGCATCTGGCAGCAGGCTAGCCTTCTGCTTGACTCAGTTGGGTGGGAGACCACCAGGAAATTTAACTCTCCTCGGAGTCGACCTAGTTAGGCTGGGCACCCATTTAGGTAGCTGAAAGGAGACCAGACAGATTCTTGGGGGATGGAGACTAGCTGCTCTTGGTTGCAGTTGAATACCTCCTAAATTGCAGAGAGCAGAACTTAAATGCCAGATATTGGAGGCGGGGGCATCTGGAAGGGGCAGGTGGGAGATACAAATGTCAAGATTGGCACCTGCAAGTGGGCAATCCAAGCCCATTTTTCACACGCATAAAAAAGGGGCAGGTCTCAGAGGCCATCTTTTTTTTCTTGTCCCCCATGTGGACGTCCTTAACCAGAGGACAATAGCGGGAGCGATCTATCTGTGCCTCTGTGCCCCCAAAGACCTCTGGGGGTCACTGCATGGGCTCCAGGGCTGGCCCAAATGGGAGCTTGACGGCTTCCAGGCTCTTCTGAGATCTCAGGGTTAGGGGTGATGGCGTGGGGGGAGGCAGGACAGAACCGCTGCTCTGATTTCCAGGGCTGCATCCTCTTCCTCCTCCTCTTCCTCCAGGTCGAATTCCCCGAGGCCCGCATCTATGAGGAAACGCTGAACATCCTGTTATATGAGACCCCCCGGGTGCCCGACAATTCCCTGTTGGAGGCCACGAGCCAGATTCGGAGCCAGGCACCCCGGGGGGAAGAGGAGGATGGCAACTTCGAGCTGCGCGACCGAGTCCGGCGCATTCATGTCAAACGATACAGCACCTACGATGACCGGCAGATAGGCCACTAGGGCCCCAGGGGGGCACCCAGAGCCCCTCCTTCCACATCGGGGGGTCATGTGGCTTCGACACTGGGGTCCCCTCATGTGCCCAAGTCTTCCTGGGGGGGCAACCTAGATTTCAGCTAAGCCGCGATATAGTTTGTGAAACTTTGTTCTCTGGTGCCGAGTTACAGCTGGGTGAAACCTTGTGGGTCTGAAGCCATCCCTTGGACGTTTTGTGTGGAATTTGACGGGGTCCTTTTCTGCCTTGAGACTCTTCCAGAAGAACTCTGTGCTTAAAAACAAAAATCCAGATGCTGAGACCAAAGAATCAGTCTTAAACACTACGTTGCAATGATGAAACACTACCGTTTTGCACCCCTGGTCCCCTTCCTTGGGAAAGACCTGGTTGGCCATGACTGTTTTTCCTCCTCTAGCAGAATGTGATTTTTTAAAACAATTTGCCGTAATCAAGAACTTCTGATGCTCCCTCGGCTAGAATCCTTGGGGCTCGATGATGCTGGGGAATAACTGGAAATCAACTTCATCCTGGTTCCTGGGAAAACTCTGTCCTATTTCCTGATTCTTACTGACGCGTCTGCAGAGAAATTTGAAGGGGAGGGATGTACCAGGTGCGTCCTGTATTGCAAACAGCTTTGGATCTTGCAGATCATTGGTGTCTGGCTGCTGTTGGAAACCTTTTTTTGGGGGGGGTGGATTGCGAAGGAGGAACAAAGCAAAAGCAGCAGGATCAAATTTTCTGAGATCTGTGGACAGACGTGCTTTGCTCATTCAGTGATAGATAACCTGGCCTGGATAATCTGGAATTTGATGATTCTTCTAGAACTTTTTTTTTTAAATCCCCCTTTTGGATCCCACAGTCTAGTTTGTGGAGAAGGATGGGTGGATGGTCTAAAATTGCTTTCCCCAACCTGTTGCCCACAAAATAAAGTTGGGCAAGTTTTCATTAGCTACCTACAGGGCACTAGGAGTGGGCCAGGCAGCTCCTTGATGCATCCTTGGCGAATGTTCTCCCCCTAGTGTTGACCTCTATGAAAGTGCTGATGCATTTAAAATTAAGGAGCTTGGTGTATTCGGTCCCAGGGTTTCTCAATCTTGGCAACTGTAAGATAGGTGGACTTCAACTCCCAGAATTCCCCAGCCAGCATGCTAGCTGGGGAGTTCTGGGAGTTGACGTCCTTGTATCTTACAGTTGCTAAGTTTGACAAACACTGCCCTAGGCCTTAGACCGTTCTTCCGAACTGGGTGCCCGCTGCAGTGTGGATTACAACTCCCATGGTTCCTAGTCATTACACCATGCTGGCTAGGAATTGTAGTCACAGAGATGGGGGAAACTGCCAATTGCATAAAGTCAACCTTTACAAACAGTTCTGGAAGGATGAGTATAAAACTGTGTTACCCTCAGATTTAGGAAAGGCTGTCAAGATTTTTTTCTAGTATGTCCAGAACTGGGACATAAACTTTGGCTGGCCAGATATAGATCAGTGACTTCTGCCACTCCCGGGGGCAAAGTGTATGGTGACATACATCACAGTAATAAAAAAGTATGAACTTCTAAGCGGAACTTCCCTATTCAGGAGGTCTCAAGAGCATCAGATACCAGTAAGGGGAAGGATATATCCCCTGTAGTTCCTTTTTGGAGGTCCAGTGAAGACATATTCCTGCTTTAAAAAGATTTGTGGTCTCTCCTAGCTAGACTTCTGTATTTGCCAGATTGAGGAAAAGCCAGTAATATAAAATGGGGTGCTTCTGTGTTCCTAAAAAGATCAGAAAGGGACAGTGTAGAGGACTGTTTGAAAGGAAGCGCAGTTAATAACACCGGCCACAACTGAGTAAGGTCCTCTCTTTCATGAGACTAGATCTCATTGAGATAGTCAATCTTTGGGTACTGAGAAAGCATCCATGACTGGAATATTCAAAGCATAAATAGCCACAGCAGGTTGAAACCTAGCCCTTCATCCAAACAACTTTCCCCCATGATTTTCTAACTTTCAGCTCCATCTGGCCTGCCCCAGCGGTCTCAGCTGGACACAACCTTGTTTCACGTCCCTGAAGTCTTTCTGCTGAAGACAGAGGGCAAACATTTTCCTTGCTGCGGTTCAGGTTAGTGGCCACGTGGGATTGAAATGCTGTCACATTTTTAAAACGTGCAGTAAGGTTTTGTGCCTAAAATGCTATATCAGTGCAGGCGCAATAGCCAAGGCTTGTCAGTTAAAGCCACTCCAAGCGCTGTGTCTTGGTGGGTCATTGACCGGACAGCCCCAGCCTTTCTGCAAACGTTTCTGGAAAAACAGCCTGAAGGTAGTTCCGCTTTTAGGGTGGCAAGAGTTGTAAAAGCAGGTTTTTCTTTTAGGCGAAACCAAAAAAAGCTTGAGACGGAAACTGGCGGATTAATTCATGCAGGTTCCAAAGTCAGGAGGGCATCAAGCCTTGCACGTTGCTCCGATGGCATTTCCTGGAATGTAACTTTGTGTCAAAATCATGACATGCAGATTGATGGGGGAAATGGAAGGGGGGGGGAATCCCAAAGGCACATGTTACTGATTTCTATGGCCATTTAGGTGTGTGTATCCCCTTGCTTTAGCACTGGCCCATAGCACTGGCCGGTGCTCTCCTTGAGATCCAGGAAGCCTTTCAGATTCAGCTGGGACTCCAGCTTTGAGGAGCCTCAGCCAGCGGGATCCGTGGCGAGCTGCGCTGCATGTGAACGTGCAGCCTCCTTTGGAGAGCTCCAGATGTGCCATCTCTGCTTGGAATAACGGAAAGTCCCAGGAGCAGATGGTACCGAAAAAAACATCCATAAGGCAAATACGGTTCCAGATGATTCAAGTCGAAAGCAAGTGATGCTAATTGCCAACATTGCGTAGGGGGTGGTGGGGAAGAAGGTTGGGCATGCAGATAAGCTAAGTAGTACATAGGGCAGCGGGGTAGAGAAGTGCTGTGGGAAAATCCACTTTTTATGTGGTGACAGAGGAAGGTTGCATTGGGAAAAACAGGAAGAAGGTTCAGGGGCAGGTCGATACGCTGGCGACTGAGACAAGGGCCCCTTTATTCAAAAGCTTTTGAGTTGGGGGGTTTGCTCGTGACAATCCCTGGTGCTGCAGAAGACCAGCTTCTTCAGGTCTTCCTTTCACCTTTAAGCCTCTTTCTGGATGTTAGGCCCCAAAATATAAATTGGGGGAACGTGTTTCCAGATGCTGGAGTAGATTTTCAGTGAATGAAAGGCTTTGCGTAGGATAAGGAGTTGGCTATGTTAAAGCTAGACGCTCTGAGTGCTGTGAGCTTTGCATTTTGGAAATTGGATTGTGATTTCTCTCTGTACCTAGCACTGAACAAATAAAATGACATTTTGGGCTGAGCAGCACTAGTTTTTAAATGTATCTAGTCGAAAAACTTGTGGGTTGGTTTGGACATAAGGAACAAGGAGCCAAACAGAGTTCCCCCATTTTTTCCCCCTGATCAATGGAGGGTCTGGCTTGTCAACCTTAGAATTGGCTGCAAGATTAAAACAGGAGAAACCATTGAGAACTGCCATTCTTTGTACCCACAAGGGCTGGAAGTTTTGAGCTTGTTTTAATATTGACAGTGAGTTATGAGGTTCATGGTAAATGAATCTGCTTGCATGAGAACTTTACAGCTGTTACATTAATATATTTGTGGGTTTGTATATATACCTCCTGAATGGCAATTCTGATCATTTGTGTGTGATACCTTAACCTGCTCTGGTCCAGAATGATAAATGCTGCTCAGCCTTGGTTTTTATTTTATTTTTTTAAATGCTCAGAGGCATATTTTAGAAAGGCCACGTCAACATCTAGAAGCATGTTTTTCTCTTTTCTCTTTGCACCATAATTTTAGAAGACACTTTGCCAGAAAGGAATTTTGAAATATATCTGCGGTGAATTTAATTCCCAGGATGGGATGAGGACACAGAGAATGTCACGCACACATTTTCTGCCAGCAACGATAATGTAGACCTTAAACAGAGATTGGTTTGTTTATGTTTTGAGGCCTAAAACAACTTACTCAAAGGCAGTAGGAGCTCCTGCTTTTAACTCCAAAAGCTACTCTGTTCTGTAGTAAAGGACTGATTGATTGATTATGTATGAGAGTCATTGTAGAGTTGGGCAGCCTTACAGATTTAATTCAATCATTAAATAAATAACCCTTTACCACGGATCAAAGTATGACGTTGGCCTTAATTGTACTTATCAATTTATTTATTGATGTACGTATTTATTTATTTCATTAAACTTAATTATAGCCGCCCGCTCCAGCAGACATTGGGCAGCTTACAAAATCTAGTACTAAATTGAAACCGATTAAAACTTAGACACAGCAAAACAATTAGTCATATTTGTAGGTCACCCTCTCCCCAGAATGCCCCTGGGCAGTGAACGGATTAAAACCTAAAAAGTCAGTACAATGATTGAAAGTGTACAAAAAGGAAAAGATGCTCAAATAGGGAGACAACAGGCACAATAAGGGGTCCCACCCCGGGTCTTCTCTGTGCCAGAGAAGGTGCACCTCCTGGATCCCATTAAACGACATGGCTCAATAGGTGGGACTTGCAGCATGCCAACTCTGATCTTACAGGACGGGCAGTCCTCATGAGTGCAAGACGGTGTCTAAGGCTGCCCCCATTTTGACAGTCGTCTTGTTGAAAAAAATGACTGGACCATGTTGAAGCCACCTGGCTGGAGGCAACGGGATAATTCCCTCAGGTAACAAGGCTCTCCTTAATAGGGAGCCAACCTGGGAAACGTCCCATCTCTGCACTTGACATAGTAGATATCGATTCAGCATTATTATTTCAATAATAGAAGCGTCTCACATTCGCTCACTTGCTCGTTGGAACCTCGTCATTGGTGAAGCAACAACAGGGAGCGGAAATGCGCTTAGAGGGATCTCTGAGATGATCTTTGATGGAACGGAAGATGGGACTTCCATCTTCTCTTCCCTCCAGCTGTCTTTTTTTAAGTCAGTGTTTCTCAACCTTGGCAACTTGAAGACGTGTGGACTTCTACCCCCAGAATTCCCCAGCCAGCCGTGCTGGCTGGGGAAT